GTATTTTCTCAGGGCAAAATCGGAAACCCTTTAGAAAATAGAAGACACGACCTAAGTGCTCCTTTCAAGGTTTTTTATGTTAAAAATGTCTTCGATGAAAGTCTTTCAGATTTTTTTCTGTCTTAATGATTTTAGACTTCAGAGTACTTCTCTTCACTTGAACCTAAAAAAGAAAAAAAGTGTTTTGTTCACCCAATCCTACGAAAAAAAAAAGAGAGAGATTTTGTTCTCACAGTAACTTCCCTTTCTTCGGGAGGCTCAGAGAGTATTGTGATAATATCTGCAATTCGGAAAGACAAATCCTTTTTATTTTGTATTTTTTTTTTTTTTTGAAGTCTTTGTTTGAATTCCAGGGAGTTAACATCCAGTGCTATGGTAGTTTCACGTGTCCACTACAGCAATTCAGCACTTCTGTACATCACCCAGTGTTCATCGGGATAAGATGCCTCCTCAATCCCCATCACCTCGTTCACCGATCCCCCCCGCCCCACCTCTCCTCTGGTAACCATCAGTTTATTCTGTATTAAGGGTATATATTGATTTGTCTCTCTTTTCCTTTGCTAGTTTATTTTGTGTTTCTTAAGGTCCACATATGAGTGAAACCATATGGTATTTGACTTATTTCACTTAGCATGATACTCTCTGCATCCATCCATGTCATTGCAAATGGCAAGATTTCATTCCTCTTTATGGCTGACATATATGTGTGTGTGTATATATAAACATAAATATGTATGTAACATATATATCACATATATAACACATATATTATATATATAACATATATATCACATATATAACATATATATCACATATATAACATATATCACATGTATATCATATATCACATATATAACATATATATTACACATATATAACATATATACATAACATATAATACACACACACACATATATATATATATATATATATATACATAACATACATATTTCACATCATCTTTATTCATCAGTTGATGGACACTTGCGTTGCTTTCATATCTTGGCTTATTATAAATAATGCTGCTACAGGGGCGCCTGGGTGGCGCAGTCGGTTAAGCGTCCGATTTCAGCCAGGTCACGATCTTGCGGTCCGTGGGTTCGAGCCCCGCATCGGGCTCTGGGCTGATGGCTCAGAGCCTGGAGCCTGTTTCCGATTCTGTGTCTCCCTCTCTCTCTGCCCCTCCCCCATTCATGCTCTGTCTCTCTCTGTCCCAAAAATAAATAAAAAATGTTGAAAAAAAAAATTAAAAATAATGCTGCTACAAACATAGGTTTGCAGGTATCCCTTTGCATTAGTTTTCTTGTATTCTTTGGAAAAATCTACAGTAGTCCCATTGCTGGACCATAAGGTAGCTCTCTTTGTAACTTTTTGAGGAACATCCATAGTTTTCCACAGTGGCTGCACCAGTTTGCATAAGACAAGTCCCCTTTATAATTTTTTTTTTCTCCTGCTTTTGCTGATAATACAGTAACTCCTTCCTGGCTTGGCGTTAATATAAATAATTCTTCCAGCCTCTGGCTAATCTCCAGGGCTTCTGATTCTCCTTCAGACATGAGGATCAGCTGGAACAATGTGGGCTAAGGTTGGAATAGAGTAAAACAGAGGACAAGTTCTTGTATGGAATTCATTTCTTCTTACCCCCAGCTTTCCTCCTTTCTTCCAGAATGTGGAAATAAATGTGAAAGCCAGGTGGGTAGAAGAGAGGAAGAGGGCGATTCAGTTGCAGAAAGTTTATAGAAAGTCCTCTTTAGATGGGGTGCCTGGCTAGCTTAGTGGGTAGAGCACATGACCCTTGATCTCAGGGTTTGATTTCAGGCCCCATGTTGGGTGTGGAACCTACTTTAAAAAATGTAAAAAGTCATGTTTTTTTTTTATTTTTTGTAATTTTTAAAAAATGTGTATTTATTTTTGAGAGAGGCAGAATATGAGCAGGGGAGGGACAGAGATGGAGACACGGAATCTGAAGCAGCCTCTGAGCTGTCAGCACAGAGCCCGACGCGGGCCTCGAACCCACGAACCACAGGATCATGACCTGGGCTAAAGTCGGACGCCTATCCAACTGAGCTACCCAGACGCCTCTCCCTCCCCCTCACCCCGGCCCCAAACGCCATCTTTATATGGGAGTAGTTGTTCACACTAGAGAGAGGGTAGATGTAAATTCATTCTTAATTCTTTTATTTATTTATTTATTTATTTATTTATTTATTTATTTATTTTTTCAACGTTTATTTATTTTTGGGACAGAGAGAGACAGAGCATGAACGGGGGAGGGGCAGAGAGAGAGGGAGACACAGAATCGGAAACAGGCTCCAGGCTCTGAGCCATCAGCCCAGAGCCCGACGCGGGGCTCGAACTCCCGGACCGCGAGATCGTGACCTGGCTGAAGTCGGATGCTTAACCGATTGCGCCACCCAGGCGCCCCATTCATTCTTAATTCTTAAGATATCAATTTGCATAATGGGGCAGGGACCCTAAGAGGCTGGGTCATAACCCCGTTGCAGAAGGATCAGTGTTTAATTATGATTGACATGATGGTGATCTATCAATTTAATTTGTTCTTTTAAATCACTATGGAAATAAAAGTAAGTATTTGGCTAACCCCACTCATTAGCTAACTGGGCATGTAGACTGTAGGACTCTTTTATCTAAAATAGGCGGGGCTGTCTTCATGTATGTGTTCTTTCTTCACCATCCAAAGAATGTTTCGAAATGGGGTAGGTGCAAAAGTTTCACAGGGGACAGAAATGCGTAAAAAGTTTGTGGAGATGTGTAATTTCTAAGAAGAAACCCAGTGCCTACTTTGCACTTTGTCTGGTACGTGATTCGACATTTGTTTAATAAACTGCTCTATTCCAATGAGTTGTGCCTTGCAACAGGCAGTGTGAGAGTTTGCAGAGTTATTATAAACATGCTAACGCTGCTCACAGTCTTTGTAGATGACTTTTTAGAATTAACGTAAGGTTCGGTTTGGAATTATCGAAGAGAAATTTTATCGTTGCCTAATGATGCATCATTTTTGGCCCCTAATTTGCCTCTTGTCTCCAAGTAACTTCTGGTTGTTCAAAAAACAAAGCCACCGCTCTTAACAGGAAGGTAAAATTCAAAGGATGAAAATAAATTGTCATCAGTAATGATATTAAGATGAATGTTCCATAAATAGTTTATTGCTAATTTGGACTAATGAAAGCGACCACCAGAAAAGACTCTTCCAAATTTGGGTCATTTCTCTTTCCACAAGATAGAGCTTTATTCAATGGAAATGCAAAAAAAAAAAAAAAAAAAAAAACCAACAATGTAAAATAATGCTTTGCAAAGTACTCCTAAGCAGATGTGCAACTACTACATTGGTTAAAAATTTGTGGGTAGTTTTGTAGAAGAGGCTTCGTTATAAAGCACTTGACATTTCTTTCCTTCCAAGCCAAATTAATTCTCCATTTACATACTTGCTTATGAAAGACAAATATTTAGTAACCCCCATTTTCACGGTAGCAAACTTTAAAAGGTTCTTTATTGCCACACAAAAAAGTTTTGATTCAGAGCAGAGAGGATTATTTAAAAAGACATTTTTCTCTAATGTGTCTCTGGTAGATACACTTGAATTTATTACATGCAAAAGCTCTAATTGCCATCCCTTCTCAAAACTGGAATCGCGTTTGGAAATTAGGAAATAAATTACCCACACCTATTTAATTTTAGGTACGTATCAGTGTTAACATATATATTTTATTCTGTAGTAAGACCTGGTATAGAATTTTAATATTACTGATATTTTTCTCTTTACTTGGGAAGAGATTGCAAGGTTTCCAATTTATGAAACCGGCGCTCATTATATATCATGTGGCTCAAAATTGTCATTGCTTTATGTGTTGGGGTAAGTTTACCTATTTCGAACCATCTGCAAACATGCAAAGTCCATTCAAGATTTAGGGTAAGAATCAATCGATTTATCGTTGTGCCACGTTGTGAGAGGCAGGGATTCCTTTATACAGTCTTGAATATTCATCTCACTCTATAACTATGGAGGGAAAATGAGAATTAACACACACGGGCGCGCACACACGTATTAGAAGTGGGAACTACCACTGCGTACCCTTCCTCCCTCGACTCGACCCTACCTTTTTCATCCACCTGTGCGTGAACAAAGCAGGTGTGGTCCAGCCAAACCCAGAGTTGTCAGTGTTAAAGCAAATAAATGGCTTAGCACCTCAGCCCTCCTTTTTGGTGTTTGTTTCTGTATATAAATGTGTTTGAGGTTTCCAGCATCGCCAGAAACATTGGCTGTTGAGAGACGGAAAACATGCAATTCATAGCAGATGGGTGAAGCCTTTTCCTGGCAGTGTTGCCGAAATGGGATCAGTCAACAGCATTTCATGCTCCATTTGTCCAAGAGCAGTCCACCTGGGGAAACCCTGTGGAACCGTGCCTATTAGGAAAACACCTTAACACGTTGCTTTAAATAAAAACTCACCAGTTGGCATTTCTCGGGAAGCAAATAGTTTCTCCAGTGAGCCCTCTGCCACTTTCACTTCTTTGGTCGTTTCTCCCTTTTTTTCAACCGCGACCATTTATTTTCTTTGCTGGCGAAAGACGCGACGCAGAGAAGCCGTCTAGAGCCCTCCCCCGCAATGCTTGACCTTGGAACTTTTTTCTGCCTACTTCTTGAGCTCATTGTCTTCCGGCAGACCTCATGTGGCATAGCTCTGCCTCTTTTTTTCACCTGCCATCCCCTCTGTGTTGCCTTCTCTTTGGTTTCATTACGTCTCCCCCCCCCCTGAACGTGGGGGGGGGCCCCCCCGCCCCCCTTAATCTTAGGGTGTGTTAGGCTGGGAGTGAGAATTATGAGCCAGGGAGCCCCTGTGACCTTCACCGCTCAAGAAACGCATGGCGAGAGGGAGTGGGGTTTGGGGGATGATGAAATAAAAATCGGGTGCTTTGGGGGGCCAGCAGCGGCCAGGAGGTAATCCCTTTTCGTTCTCTGGTTCCTACAACTTTTCCAGGTGCAAAGTGGATATCGCAGCGCTGCCTCTGAAGCAAGCCAACTGCTTGGAGCTGCCCCTGGAGAGCTGCCTGGGGGCCCTCCTGATGTTGATCACGCTCACTCCCTGTGCTGGCGTCTCCGTCTCTGATCTGTGCGTGTGCCCCTTAGCAGACCCCAGCGAGAGAAAGCAGATTGCCCAGCGATATGTGAGTGCTCTGCCTCGCCACCCCGCTGCTCCCCACCACCTCCGCTTTGGAGTTGAAACAAAGTCTATGAATTAAGAAAAAAAAATGCATGAAAAGAGATCTTTGTCCACAGTTTAATGGCATGTCTCATAAAACAAGACATCAGATCGAGAGGTTAATGCATTAGCGAGAAGGTGAAAGTCGATTAGGCTTTGCTGTTTTGAAAGCCGAAAATGGTGTTTTGAATTTTCAGCGTTCAGAAACTCTTCGGAGAACGTTGAAATCCACAAGGAGGCAAACTTGTTTAGCATGCCTGCATATGTAAAAACGAATTTTAATAGAAGTTCACAGAGATAGCCTTTTTTTTTTTTTTCTTTTTCAACCAGCCATCAGGTTGGCTATGTTACACCCACCTTTCCAGAACCTCTGAGAATCGAGTGAGAAAGTGCTTCTGTCTCATAAAGCAACGCAAAGCCCCGGACAGGCACAGAATGGTGTTCTGTTCTACCCTGGATAATAATGGCAGTGTGTGATTTTTGCCTGAGTAGTTGCAATGCGCTTACAAGTCCACTCAGCATTTTTAAATCCAGTGGCTTCGTTGCTCTTCATTTATTTTCTGTACTCGGGCTTTCTAGGTGTCCTTATTTGCATTCTGTTTTTATCCCGTCTTCTTTGTAAATCAATACGTTTATCTTATGGCCGCACACGAAAGGCACGTTTTAGAAGAACAACACGAAAATGAAGCAAAGAAGAATCCCTATTTAATGGGAATATTATTCTCAGCGTTAACTGTAGGGCCTCCAAAATCCTTCACTGTGAGGTGTATTGATTAATTGAATAATTCTTTATCTTCGGGGAGTACAAAACCCAACCACACATCTTATTGTCAACGCGGACTTTGTGCCAGGTTGGCCTGTTCTAGAGGCGTTTCTACAAAATCCACTATTAATATTCTTTGATGGCTTCAGTCAAGCGTATGAAAATTTGATGATAAAACTTAAAACTTTCCCCTGGACTTTCCCGTGGAGAAATTACCAAACTTACCAAATTCACGAGGAGGGTCATGTATTTATAAAGTGATTTTAAGTAAGATCATCCTGGCTGCTTTGAATAATGCCTCAGGATTTGAGGAGTACTAATGGAAAATGGGTTTTAAGAGGCTCATCAAAATAGAAATTTTTTTTGTGTTTTCAGCTAAAGATCTGGGCAGTGTGTTAGAGGGAAAGAAGGCCATGTCAAAAACACAAGTTCCAGACTTCTTGAGTTTTAGCTTGTGAGACTAGATCATACTGAAGGCATTTTCACATTTAAACAGTAAAAGTATTTATTTCAAATGTTTTCATTTAGATTAAAATATTTTAAACTAGCTTAAAAACTGCAGGTTTTGTTTTGTTTTTTGGGTTTTTGTGTTTTTTTTTTTTTCTTTAGGTTGGAAATACACAGCAGAAACAACTTTCAAAAGTGTGTAGAAATGATGCATAGTACGTTAGGCACACCTGAACTATTATTAAGTTATTGTTATTCTATCCTGAAATGTCTAAATAACAAGGATTTTACTATCCTCCCATAAATCCCCAAGGCCTGCTTATCACAGGTTTTTAGCAAATGACACAATCATAGCGGAAATATTATATCCAAAAGTTTTAAAGCAGCATCTTTTCAGCAACTGTTTTCTGGAGGCATGCAGAGATACTTTATCCGCTTATCTCTTTCATGCACCACTTCAGAAGGATGCCGTGTACAGAGATACCGAAATATTGCTATCCATGCAATATACATAATTCTTTTTTTTTTTAGTTTTTTTAAACGTTTATTCATTTTTGAGAGACAGAGAGACAGCATGAGTAGGGGAGGGGCAGAGAGATAGGGAGACACAGAATCCGAAGCGGGCTCCAGGTTCTGAGCTGTCAGCAGAGCCCGACACGGGGCTCGAACTCACGGACCGTGAGATCATGACCTGAGCCAAAGTCGGAAGCTTAACTGACTGAGCCCCCCAGGCCCCCCTGCGATATGCATAATTCTTAAGGATTTTCAGGATGTACACTCAAGCATTGGCTCATGCAAACTGAAAAATAAAATAGGTGTGAATACAGGGTGATACTACATGCTCAGTGTTTAATTTAATGAGGTGGCTAAAACGTGAACCAGAAAACGCACTCTCTTTCCAGTAGTAATAAGTATCTGCGAAGGGTCCAAGTTGGGTCCTCTGGTATCCATAAATTTTGTACTAACGAGGTCAGAATAATGTTGCCTTTTCGAGTGATTTAAAACTTTTAATCAAGAGAAAGAAAGGGAAGAAGAGAATGAAAAATGAAAAAAAAAAAAAGAGAGATGTACCACATTTTGGGATACCTGTGCCATCAGTGGGGGCGAGGTTAAGAGTAGATTGTGTGTGTGTTATAACTGGTTTCTTCTGAAGTCCCTTTTAATCGGTTGCTATGAATGCCTACCTGCCCCATTGACATAATGCACTTTGGAACTTTTCTAAGCTTTGCACGAGAAAGGTGATGATAAATCTAGAATGTACTTCTGTAGGACTTGATGGCATTAAATAGTATACTAGAAAGTCATTCTCACGCATAATCTACTTTGCTCCCCCTTAGTGCTTACAGAATTCCCTGAAAGATATGAAGGACGTCGGCATTTTACAAGTGAAGGTCTTAAAGGCAGTAGATCTCTTAGCAGCGGATTTCTCAGGTATAAACCTTTTGAATTCATTTTCATTTTTGTTTATTTCCCGCTTTGAAGTGATCCGATGACAAAGCAAAATGTCTTCATGGGGCGCCTGGGTGGCTCAGTTGGTTAAGCGTCCGACTGCGGCTCAGGTCACGATCTCGCAGTCTGGGAGTTCGAGCCCCGCGTCAGGCTCTGTGCTGACCGCTCAGAGCCCGGAGCCTGCTTCGGACTCTGTGTCTCCGTCTCTGCCCCTCCCCCACTCATGCTGTCTATCTCTCATCAATAAATCAACTTAAAAACTAAAGAAGAAAATAATAATAAAACTAAATGTCTTCATGAGCGAAAGCGTATACGCACAGCCATTATGCTCTTTCGTATATTAAGGAGGGCACTTGCTGTGATGAGCACTGAGTGTTGTATGGAAGGGATGAATCACGGGATTCTACTCCTGAAATCAAGGTAACACTCTGCGGTCCCTAACTAGACCTTAAATAAAACATTTGAAAACAAACAAAAAACCCAAATAGAGTGATAGAAGAACAAAAAAAAGATGCATTTAAGCAGGTTTTTTTTCCACTTGACCTTTTTCACAAAAAAATTTTTTTTTTTAAATAATTGTCTTTCTTTAAAAAAAAATTTTTTTTAATGTTTATTTTTGAGACAGAGGGAGACAGAGCGCACGTGGGGGAGGGGCAGAGAGAGAGGGAGACACAGAATCTGAAACAGGCTCCAGGCCTCTGAGCTGTCAGCACAGAGCCCGACGCGGGGCTCGAACTCACAAACAGTGAGATCATGACCGGAGCCGAAGTCGGATGCTTAATCGACTGAGCCACCCAGGCACCTCTCAAATAATTTTCTTATGGTTAGGTAACATACCAGTCCATTTATTTGGCTTTCAAATATTTTCGTGGATGATTAGTGCCATTGCTTTATTTATTAAGTTTCTGAGAAATTTTGACTAGAGTACCTCAGAAGACAGATCCGACCCCCTGCCTTCACTCCTTGCCGTGCTCTGTTCTGGAAGCATTTTGTCCTTCACAATGTAAGAGGATGTGGTGGTTGGTAAACTTAAACCTGGATGTGCGTCCAGCTGGTGCTTCTCGGAAACAGTGGCCAAAGTCTCGGCCATGGGACCACGTTGCAGTTGACGTGGTCTTATACGCAATTTCTCTTGGTACTTCTTGAACTTGAACTTTTAACTTTTTTTTTTAATGTTTGTTTATATTTGAGAGTAAGAGAGAGAGAGACAGAGCATGAGCAGGGGAGGGGCAGAGAGAGAGGGAGACACAGAACCTAAAGCAGGCTCCGGGCTCCAAGCTGTCAGCACAGAGCCCGACATGGGGCCTGAACTCACAGATCATGACCTGAGCTGAAGTCAGGCACCCAACTGACTGAGCCACCCAGGTGCCCCACGAACTTGAACTTTTAGACAGAGATAGAGCAGACATGCTTTGTGCTGAGTTATGCTGGACTATGAGGAGAGTAATCCAGACATTCCAATGTCTGATCGGAGGGAGACTCTCCTCTGATTGCCAAATTAACCCATTGTGCTAGCAGTTGAGACACGATATGGCAAGTGCTATTTACCAAGAAAATTGATAAATACAAAGAATATTTTACAGCATGGTTTTCTGCGTGGACAAGGTATTGAAGGACCCATTCATCTCCTGTTTTTAGAATGTGGTCTACTCTCTTCTACACAGAAAGTTCTATGTGACAATCGCCTCTGAACTTTTGAGACTGAGGGTGAGGAAGAGCCAACTTTGGAAAAAAGAATTTTTATTTTATTTTATTTTATTTTATTTTATTTTATTTTATTTTATTATTTTTAACATTTATTTATTTTTGAGAGAGAGACAGAGCACGAGCATGGGAGGGGCAGAGAGGGGGCGGACAGAGGATCTGAAGCAGGCTCCAGACTCCGAGCTGTCAGCACAGAGCCCTATGCGGGGCTCGAACTCACGAGCTGTGAGATCATGACCTGAGCCAGCTGCCCCAGAAAAAAATAATTTTAACTTTAAGCACTGTATATTACAAAAATGATGGAAAATATAAATGTAGTTGTTTTTTGTAAGGGACTTCTCCTTCCCCTCCCTCAAAAAATGAACCAATAGAAATTATTGCTGTATAAGCCACGGGAAATAAGGTGATGTTGATCTTAAGGAAATACCCAGTGAGAAGATCCAAAAATGGTATTTTGGCCAATATGAATTAAAGAATTTGGGGGATTAAAGATGAAATATTCAGATGACTACTTCGAACATTCATTAATTTAGTTGCAAATGTTTATAGTCTCATAATTGATTTAGAAAATTTCCTTTCTTAAGAAAGTTTAAATAAAAAACCTTTTTTTTTAATTTTTAAAAAAAATTTTCATGTTTACTTATTATTAAGAGACAGAGAGAGACAGAGCATGAGTATGGGAGAGGCAGAGAGAGGGGGAGACACAGAATCCGAAGCAGGCTCCAGGCTCCGAGCTGTCAGCACAGAGCCTGACGTGGGGCTCGAACTCACGAGCCATGAGGTCGTGACCTGAGCTGAAGTCCTACACTTAACCGAGCCACCCAGGCACCTCTATTTTTTTTTTTTTTAATTAATGTTTGTTTATATTTGAAAGAGAGAGAGAGAGACAGAGACAGAGCACAAGCGGGGGAGGGACAGAGAAAGAGGAGACACAGAGTCCAAAGCAGGCTCCAGGCTCTGAGCCGTCAGCACAGAGCCTGATGTGAGAGTTCAGACTCATGAACTGTGAGATCATGACCTGAGCCGAAGTCGGATGCTTAACCAACTGAGCCATCCAGGCGCCCCAAACTTTCCTTTCTTTAAAACTTTTCCAGTTTATGAAAACACTTAATTCACCCATTTCACATGTGCCTTTGACAATAGTCGTTTAATGATCACTACAGCACATTTAGAGCATCCACTAGTTTTCCGGAGCCGATTATTTTCCCTTCAGTCTGAATGTTTCAAGACAGTACTTTCTGAATCTATGATTGCTGATGTCTCAGGAAATGTTGTTGCAAACACAAGAACTCATTCGTGCCTTAGAACAATATTTTCAGAAATTCTGTCTGTAGTTGCATGTTTTTGAATCTGTAGGAACTAACTGCAATGCATTAAAAGTTTTTCTTTAAAAAAAAGGTTTTTTTTTTAAAGTCTTCTTTACAACTACAGCCGTATGTGGAAACACATTTTTAAAACCTCCTTTATTTCACCCGTCCTGACAGGTACCCTTTTTGCATCCCCCCAAACTAGTATTTATGGAGGTGTTTCAAGTCAATGTTGCTTTTCCAAACAGAATTTTGACTATTAAAGTGAATAAGAGAGGAACGTAAAAAAAAAAAAAAAAAAAGGCCAGGAGACAAAGCAAAACTCTCTCTTCAGAAGAATAATTTTGGGGGGAAATGTTGTCATTTTGTCATTTTCTTTATAGTCAAGATTCTCGTAGATAGTTTTGGAGTGGCTGAAGACAAGTACCAGAAGATTCCAGTCACAAAAAGCGGTGGTTACAAATCCAGTCATGCTGTGTGGTTTGACTAAATGCCCTGATGTTTCACTGTCTCTGTATTATTTATGGGAAAATTATCACTCGGAATTGAAGCAAAAGTTCCTTGTCATTAGCTAAACATGTCTTTAGACCATATTGATCTTTATTTTTAGAACCAAATTTCACAGTCTGTGTTCTTTATTGGCTGGCAGGCTCCTGTGTGAATCCTCTGGTCTATTCTCAACCAGGATATTGCTTTAGGGCAACAAAGTGGACCTAATGCAGAGAGTTGTAAAGCAAATTTTCTATATGAAAAAAAGAAATGGATTCAGACTGCAGGGAGGTAGCAATAGCGATGTCATTAATACCTGCAAGAGGTTAGCGTCTGTATCATATGGTGGGGACTCACACATTATCTGTTATTATTGTTACCAATTCAATTGCTATGCGGTGAAAAACGCTGTCTGCTGGTGAATCAGAAGAGGTATGTATACCCAAGATTGTCAGTACCAGAAACATTTAAGAAATAAGTAACCAATTATACCCCACGCCCAGCCTTTTCCAGCCTGCTGTACTTTATAAATGAGCAGTTCTATGGCAGTGGCTCCGGAAACAAAGCATTCACTCCTGCAAATAAAAAAAGAAATGTATTTACTCTGAATAACCAGGGGCGTTCTCAGAGAATGGTCATCATTTTAAACAGTACAAAAGGGAACTTTCCTACCTTCCTACTTCTGTTTCCTACTTTTTGATCATTCTTTTTTTCTTACAAACAATACTGAATAACCACAATAACGGATGCTTAAAGTTTGTTTTACAGAAGATTCCGGGAGAACATCGATAAAGCTAACGTTCAGGGAGAGATCTTGGTAGTATTGTGTATGGAGGTTATTGTTAAGAGTCCGCATTCCGATTCTGTGTCTCCCTCTCTCTCTCTGCCCCTCCCCTGTTCATGCTCTGTCTCTCTCTGTCCCAAAAATAAATAAACGTTGAAAAAAAAAATTTAAAAAGGGGCGCCTGGGTGGCGCAGTCGGTTAAGCGTCCGACTTCAGCCAGGTTACGATCTCGCGGTCCCTGAGTTCGAGCCCCGCGTCGGGCTCTGGGCTGATGGCTCAGAGCCTGGAGCCTGTTTCCGATTCTGTGTCTCCCTCTCTCTCTCTGCCCCTCCCCTGTTCATGCTCTGTCTCTCTCTGTCCCAAAAATAAATAAACGTTGAAAAAAAAAATTAAAAAAAAAAAAGAGTCCGCAGAGTACAGAGTACATGTCCTAGAAGGGCGATGAAGGCACTTGGTAAGCCTTCTTGTCAACGGTTTGCCCATTTGGAAGTGATCTCTGTCTTAGCAAGGAGGACTTCAAAAAAGAAAATACTAACCGCGCATTGCCACTGCGGTCAAAGTATGATACTCTCTCTTAGTGGTTATTGGTGTTATGATTATCTAATCATAAAAAAATACAGCCTAATATAATTATAGAGTCATGAGAAGAAATTAAACTTTGGAGACATTAAATCCCCATTACTTTGCTAATATTTTAG